CTGAACACGCCATCTGATCATCGGATCCCTCGACCCTCTCTCTCTCTCTCTCAAAGCAATCAGTTATTCTTGTTTTTCGATTGTGAGAGAAATCTGTGCACAAGAATAGTATATCGACTCGAAAGCTAACATTTGACCCAAAAATACAATTCATTTTCTGTGACTCTCTCACTCTTTCTCTCTCCCTTTCTCTCTCCCTTTCTCTCTCCCTTTCTCTCTCAATACTATTGATCTGATTATTGTATTTCTTGTGTGACTTTATTGGAGTAAAGCTTTTCTCGGCTCGTTTTTTCCTCTCTATTATATTCCACGAGATTTAGTGTTTCGAAAGATTACATGTGATCTCACAATAGTCTGTTAGATCCCTGTCCTCCAAGTCCTTCATTAAAGATTTATTATTCGCTAATATTATTATATTTATCTAAAAATTCATGTAATTTGGATCCAAAAAATTATAATTAAATTTCGTAGCGATTCATGGGTTAAAATAGGAGACAAATGAAGTGATGGAAATAGAGTTGACATAAACTTTGTAAAAGATTAGTGTTGCAAATGCTGTCAAACATAATTGAAGTCCGCGTTCAACTAACATGTAATAAGAGAGTACAGCTTGAAAGCACTGGTAGCTTAAAAGCGTGTTTATATAGGAATAGCTATTCTCTATCCATTGTTATATAAGGTCTGAAAAGACGTTTTATTCTCATAAAAGAAAATCTCAGTTATTTTCGCTAAAGCATTGTGTATAGTATTGGGTGACATAAGTAATTACTGGGTATACCTGACATGGAGCCCACCATATATGCCGGTGCCGTCTGCACGACAGTACACGATAGCTGGAGGTTAGCGGTGATGTCGTTGTCGTCATCCCGGATGGCAATACACATCTTGTATTTATGATTAGGTATGAGATTATTGATAGTATAGGAGCGCAGAAAGTGCTGAATAGTGACGGTTTCGTATTTCGTGGTGTTATTCATGAGGTTATTGCCGTCGATTCGGTGGTACAGTATCTGGTACTCGGGGAACAGGTTGCGAGCCGTACCGTTCCACACCAGGGTCACCGATGTTGAGGCCACGTTCAGCGCAAACAAATGCAGATCAATGTCGTTGACCAGCATTTCCATCGACGACAACGCGATTCCGTGTCTGTTCTCAGCCATACATTTGTAAATTCCGGAGTCCTTTGGCTTTAAGTGAAACATTCGCAGACTTCCCGGTGTTTTCAGCTGAATGTGGATCTGATTTGACGTGTCGTTCAATACATCGCCTGCAATACAAGAGTCAAAAGAAATAGTTTGATGTCATATGCGATGAAAGTAAGAGTAAAGTCAATATTTGGATTCTCTCGGACCCATTGGTAAGTGATTTCAAACTTAATTATTATGTTATTCTCGACAACAAAACGACAAATAATAAGTCAATACAAATCTGATTAATAGTCGGTTCGCTTGTCGTTTGATATTTTTGGTCATTTTTATTATCACCAAAAAGTAAAATTAATTATCGGCTCAGAGTACAGAGAGTATAGCAAATGGACTAACCGTTTGGCAAAATCCATATAATTTTGGGAACGGGAAGACCCAACGCCTTGCACTGGAAGACATGTCTGTCACCTATTTTCTTATGTATTGTGACATTCGCTTTGCCAATCGTGACGATCTTTGGCGCACATTCTTGTGGTATTAAATTGTCTGTCAATTCAATTAATTTAATTTCGGACAAACTTTTTGGCTGAAAACACTGCAATTTTTTGCCGTCAATTAATTCAATTTTACTATTGTTTGGATGTTTGAGGCACTGAAACATACAGAATAAGAAAGAGAGAGACCAATGAATACCACAACTGAATCATGGCTTTTGTATCTTTCCGTTCACTATGGCTTCAATTAATTGTCTTAACATTTATCCGGAATTAGGGTAATGAATATCAGGACTACTTTTGCAATTAATCTTATTATTTAAGATCAATTAGGTTTGGATTTGCCTTTATTTCAGAGAAATCCATGTGTAAGACATTCATGACTCTAATCAATCTCACAAATAGTACAATAAATCATAACTGACTTAAAAACAAAATTTCTTAAATTAATTTAATTATAAAATTTTAAAGTTAGGAAATGTTAGGAAATGAGTTTCAGACCTGATATAAGTATTGAATATTACAGTCACAGAGAATCGGGTTCCCATCGAAAGTGACTTTGAGTTTGTGTTTGCTGTGAAACTGTTGGTCATTGTGGACGTAGTCGATAATGTCGTGTTGGAAAGTCTTGAGTCCGCACTCATGCAACTGAAGAGTATGGAGGAGTGGGACCCCCAGGAAGGACTGGGAGTCGATGTATTGGAGGTTGGGGTTGGAGTGCAATAGGATTGTGTTGACATTAGGTAAGTCCCAAAAGGCTCCCTTATCGATGAGCACTAATTGCTTACAATTAGCGACACTAATGTGATTGACGGGGATGTGAACGAAGTCGCCGGTAGACAACTGTTCCAACGGATTGGAGTCCATATTAATCGTGATTATCCTCTTCAGCGACTGCAGTGCTATCGATGGCACGCGAGTTAAGTGATTGTCGTTGAGGTATAGCTCTTCCAACAGCTCTAAGCCGACGAACGCGTTATCATTAATACTGACGATTCGGTTCCGCCAGAGAACTAGTTTTCTGAGGCCTGTCATCGACGCGAATATACCGCCCGTTAAGTGACTGATACTATTGCCCCCGACGTTCAGCACCTGTATGTGTAATTGCAATGCATATATCACAATGTCGTATCATTTAGTGTATTTTATTACTCGTAATGTAGTATATTCTGTATAGTAACTCAAGATATTTACGGTATTATAGCATTGCATATATAATACAGTAATTCACTTAATGCGAGAATGCATTTGAATGTGATTTATGAAAAGTCTTTCGTTTTATGCCTTATAATAAACATAAATATTGATGATATTATATCCACTAGAGTTTTAAACTAAACTTTTATAAATTTTTATTTATTGTTGTTTTTTGCGCCAAATTTATGACTTTATTTCTGCAGTCACTTAGAGATGGGAATAAATTTCAAACTATTTTCTCAAAACATTTGTTCTAAATATAGATAAATTACATAATATATCAATAGTAATGCAAAGTTGTCTATGAAATGCACGGCTATAGACTTCCTTGGGAATCATTTTATGAAAATTCAAATCTCAACTTATTTGAACAAAAAACT